AACATTTCTGTTCGCATCGGTGATCGAAGCGATTCTACTCTAATTATCAGTTTCTGACGCGAGCATCAGTTGCTCCAAAGTCAGTCGGGAGAAAAACGCTCTTTACTCTTTTAAAACAGGCTAATAAGGCAAACCGAGAAAACTATTGTCTCTTTTGCACTGATTAGCTCTTTGCCTAGCGATTTTATGCAAGACTAAGTGAGAGGATCACAATTCAATTATTCCAGAAAGCAAAACCTTAAGGCCACCAAATTGCGTAAAGACACTATTTGAGTCTCTTGGAGAGAAATTTGTGTCATTGGAAATTAAACGCTTTTGTGGCGCTGGAAGGTTAGTGTTGTTAATGGTATTAGGGAATGTGGTGTTCGGAGATGATTAAAATCTGTGTTGAAGAGAGAAAGAGTGAGGGGTGAGAAAGAAAAGAGAAGGAAAAAAAATCAATAGCTGCAAGCACAGCTCCCACTCTAGATGGACATCTCCTCTGTCTTTATGCACCCTAATAGAAAAATAACAATTAAATCCAAATCTCCACATTAATTTGGTTTCCATCAGTCTCGGGGGAGATCGTCTTTACCAGTTATTATTCGCTAGGTTATTATATCTTCTAATCAAGCCTCTTAAGAAAAAGAAACAGCCCAATGGAAGAGACAGGCTGTGTTCCCTCCACTTCCCCCTCCCCCTCCCCCAGCAGGCTTGCATTGCACTCATTGTACTTGTGCTTATTATGTTTCAAATGACCGAGGTACGGCTGACATTCTGGCTGCATGCAGAGAGGCCCAGCCTCCGTTAATGACGCAGCTCATAGTCCTAAGAGCCTGAGCTCCTCACCCACCCACGCCCCAACCCCCAACACACACACACACACACACACACACACACACAGGCTCTAATGAAGAACCACCAACACAATTACAAACCCCAGTGTGCCTCTGCTGGAAGAGGGGAGGAGGTTATACACATAGTCACTCAGAGGGAGGAATATTGCCATCATGTGTGCACACATATATACACACAATTATGGCTTTTTACTGTGGCCAGGGTGGTCTTATGATCACAGATAAACATAGGCACATGGACCGTATGCACACATGTTAAGATGCACGTCTTGCACACGATCGTCTCATCTTATCCTCCCACTCTCCAGAGCGCTGATCCCTGGAGGTCTGCCTGCCTCTCCGTGTCCCTCCATAAGCATCCCTTTTCACCCAGCTTTAACTCTACAGGTGAGGAGGGGGGTCAGAGAGGATCAATGAACGCATGCATAAATTGGTAAATGAATGTGTGTCCTCTATACGCTCTGATGAATCCAAAAAGACCAGTGACTGGTTCTCCTTTGAACAATTTCAAATTTAGTTTCATTACACGCACATTAAAATGACAGAAGTGGTATTTAGCAATAAAGTCACAAATGGTCTAATTACAATCGGAATTACATGACTATAACACTAGTACTTACAGTAAATGTGCTTGACAGTTTGCAACAGGAGTTGTTACATGCATAAACATGTTAGTTATCCGCTGTTTTTCTTTTTAGCATTAACATGTTTATAGCACTCATTATCAGGGTTATTATAGTTAACCTAAACTAAAACTAAAATTAAAACTATTAAAAAATTGTTAATTGAAATAAATGTTAACTGAAGTAAAATAAAATAAACTTTTATTTCATCTAGTTGCCAAAACAACATTTCTATTTTAAGATTCTATATTAACATTTTATTTTAGTTTAACATGATGTACAAAAATAACTAATACTGAAATAAAAATGAATAAAAACTAAACACACATTTAGACGCATTTACAAAACTACTAAAAATAACCTAAAATAAAATGAAAATCAAAACATTTTGATAATAGCAAAATATTAATCATAAAAACTATAATAGTTTCTCAATGATGCTAAAATAACACTGCTCGTTATTAGTGATACCTACAAAAAGGAGAAACCAAAACTGGCCAAAATAAACGAATAAAAATAAATAAATTAAAAAATTTAAATACCTTAATATTATAATATATAAAATAAAACAATTATACATCATATATACACACACACACAAAATTAAATTCAAATATTTAAATGAAAATTAAGTGTGCACATTATATATAAGCATATTGTCTCAGTGAGAAAAACAGCTTTCCGCTTATCACACAAAGTAAAACCTCAATGCACGCAAGTCTCACATAACCTGAAGAGTTAAGCTAAACTCCGAACAGTTGCCCCTCTTTTCTCCCTCATGCTGCCCCCCTCTCCCACTAAGGAGTGGCAGCGTGTCCCTCCTCGCCCCCTTGTTGTTGTTTTCTCGCTCAATGAAATAATCTCCCACCCCCTTCATCCCTCACCCCATGCCACCCCCCTGGCCCAGTCTAGGTCAGAGGGCCCCCCTCAGCCTGTTGCTGATTGTGAGTGCAGCGGCAGGGAGAAAAAGCACACAATTAGGCACAGATGGCTGTCTGCCTCGTGGTGCCCAGCTCGGCTCCCGCTGCAAAGGGCCATTCTGCCGCCTCTCGCTTTGCCCGCAAGTGTAATTCAAATGAGAGATCAATGAGCGTCATACTAAAAGTAACAGATCCAATTATTCTGCCTTTTATTTTCTGTTCCTCCTGAGTGTCACGGGGGCAGATCCTCTTTTTTTTCTCTCTCTTCAACATGAGACGACATCAGCTCAAACGATGCCACTATCTTTCGGATTACGGAAATTCTGTTGTCAAATCGTAACATTATCACCTCGTCTCACTCCCCTGATGATTTGAGGGAAAATAGGGTCAGATTAGCCGGGTTAATCCATAATCCCTGAATTTAGCTATTGAAGTAACTGGAGACAAATGCAATCAAGTTTGATCATGCATCACTGTCTTGCGGTTTATCAGACAGCTTTTGAATGACAAGTAACCAATCTTAGAATTAAATTTCCATTTCACTGGATGCCAGATTATCAGATTTCCACTGCTCTTGTACAGCATAATGCCTTCACGTTCATTTGCAAGCACAATCTCATTAACATGTGATGCCTTGTAACTTTTATACAATACACGGTCATTTTGATAATTGATCATATATCTTGATTCAAACTTTTTATGCAATTTTTAAATAATGCTCAGGCATGATGCAAATATGGATTAATAATATCAATGATGAGTAAGAACTGACTGCATTTCTGAAATCGTCTTCAAAAAATGATAAATAAAAAATAAATAAATGAATGAAATGACATAAAACACAACCTAAAGCGTTAACAACAGCCTTTTCCGGCTCTTCCATCATTGACAGATGTTTTGTAAATAGTAAGCGATGCTAAAAAGACAGCGTGCAATGTGCATAATTCGGGCACTTCCACACTTTTGCCTTTTCACAGCGAATAAAAGTTTGCTCGTTTAAGTATTGTCCGCTGACGTCACTTTGATTCCTTGAAGTGAGGCAGAATAAACCTTGAAAGGACTCTCCTTCAATCTGCCGTTCGTAACTAACACACACACACACACACACACCGAGTCACTCACTCACACACACACACACCGAGACTCAATTACTGCCCAATTCCCTTCTTCATCATCTCCTGCTACACTGGCCTCTTCCAAAAGCAAATCGAAAAAGGAAAACAAAAAGCAACGTTACCTGAAGTGATACTTCGACCCCGATCGAGGCGGAATTACACGAAGTGTCAAAACTAAGGGTAAGTTTTGAATTTATTGAGAGCTGGATCAGTTATTTGATTGGAGAATCAATGTCGTGTCGCTGGCTGGCTTGATTTCTTAGCGAGGGCAGCTAACTCGATAGTTTCTTCAGGTTGGCTACGCGTGTGCCTCGAGCGCAAAACTTGTCAAAAGCATTTCAACGGCGTTGTCGGGAAAAGCCCATCGAGAGAAATATTCCGTTGCGACGGCGAATATAGCAAAACTTTACGAGTGGACGCAATGTTGCGCGCGGGGGTTGTGACTTCATAATAGCAATCTGCCTTTGTGCCCTCTCGCGTGCGCTTTAACTGCTACGTTTTTTAAATGTAAACTGTTGGTAAACACTCCTCAATGTATCCAAACATGTTGCAGAAGAGCACGCGCTTCCCCGTCGTTCATTTTGGTACGTAAAAATGTAATATTTGGCTTATTTGATGCGGGGGAGTCACTTGGAGGAGCTGACGCTACCTTTGGTCTGTTTAATGTCCGTCTCTCAGATGATGGCAAAAGCTAACAGCTCTTCATTGAGACAACATGATAAAAGCATTTACTTTATAATTCCTTTTGATAAACTCTGTTAAAAGCACACGGTTTGGTAGTTTCGACGGGGAAATCGCCTGCTCGGTAGGAGCGGGTCGCTGGCGTTGCGCTGGAGCGTCGCGTTGCTCTTATCTTTGTTGCTTCCTTAAAGAGCAGCAGCTGCCGCCTGGCCGAGTTGTTGAAATGTATCCCTTTGTGTATATTACAATATCCTCCATTTTTTCTGCCCTCTAAACAACAAGCCTCACGCCATCTTGGCTCATTTGAACCGGCGGAGCCGTGTGTTAGGACTCGAGCTGCACATGTCGTTACAGGCAGAAAGTTTAGAAATGTCTTGTGTGGCGGCGGTGACGTCATGTGAAGTTGAAGTAAAATGTGATGTTTTGCCAAGAAGGCGTCGAATTTGTTGTCTCGCTTGACATTGGTGCAACACTCTGTTTTCGGTTAGTTTTGGTGTCGGAATGACTCCAGTTGAATAAAAACAAACATTTTGATGTGATCTCGAGAATCTTACGCGGTGTTTAACGATCCGGTGTTTACAGGTGGATGAATGACATCAGCACCAGGCATGATGCAAATATGGATTAATAATATCAATGATGAGTAAGAACTGACTGCATTTCTGAAATCGTCTTCAAAAAATGATAAATAAAAAATAAATAAATGAATGAAATGACATAAAACACAACCTAAAGCGTTAACAACAGCCTTTTCCGGCTCTTCCATCATTGACAGATGTTTTGTAAATAGTAAGCGATGCTAAAAAGACAGCGTGCAATGTGCATAATTCGGGCACTTCCACACTTTTGCCTTTTCACAGCGAATAAAAGTTTGCTCGTTTAAGTATTGTCCGCTGACGTCACTTTGATTCCTTGAAGTGAGGCAGAATAAACCTTGAAAGGACTCTCCTTCAATCTGCCGTTCGTAACTAACACACACACACACACACACACACCGAGTCACTCACTCACACACACACACACCGAGACTCAATTACTGCCCAATTCCCTTCTTCATCATCTCCTGCTACACTGGCCTCTTCCAAAAGCAAATCGAAAAAGGAAAACAAAAAGCAACGTTACCTGAAGTGATACTTCGACCCCGATCGAGGCGGAATTACACGAAGTGTCAAAACTAAGGGTAAGTTTTGAATTTATTGAGAGCTGGATCAGTTATTTGATTGGAGAATCAATGTCGTGTCGCTGGCTGGCTTGATTTCTTAGCGAGGGCAGCTAACTCGATAGTTTCTTCAGGTTGGCTACGCGTGTGCCTCGAGCGCAAAACTTGTCAAAAGCATTTCAACGGCGTTGTCGGGAAAAGCCCATCGAGAGAAATATTCCGTTGCGACGGCGAATATAGCAAAACTTTACGAGTGGACGCAATGTTGCGCGCGGGGGTTGTGACTTCATAATAGCAATCTGCCTTTGTGCCCTCTCGCGTGCGCTTTAACTGCTACGTTTTTTAAATGTAAACTGTTGGTAAACACTCCTCAATGTATCCAAACATGTTGCAGAAGAGCACGCGCTTCCCCGTCGTTCATTTTGGTACGTAAAAATGTAATATTTGGCTTATTTGATGCGGGGGAGTCACTTGGAGGAGCTGACGCTACCTTTGGTCTGTTTAATGTCCGTCTCTCAGATGATGGCAAAAGCTAACAGCTCTTCATTGAGACAACATGATAAAAGCATTTACTTTATAATTCCTTTTGATAAACTCTGTTAAAAGCACACGGTTTGGTAGTTTCGACGGGGAAATCGCCTGCTCGGTAGGAGCGGGTCGCTGGCGTTGCGCTGGAGCGTCGCGTTGCTCTTATCTTTGTTGCTTCCTTAAAGAGCAGCAGCTGCCGCCTGGCCGAGTTGTTGAAATGTATCCCTTTGTGTATATTACAATATCCTCCATTTTTTCTGCCCTCTAAACAACAAGCCTCACGCCATCTTGGCTCATTTGAACCGGCGGAGCCGTGTGTTAGGACTCGAGCTGCACATGTCGTTACAGGCAGAAAGTTTAGAAATGTCTTGTGTGGTGGCGGTGACGTCATGTGAAGTTGAAGTAAAATGTGATGTTTTGCCAAGAAGGCGTCGAATTTGTTGTCTCGCTTGACATTGGTGCAACACTCTGTTTTCGGTTAGTTTTGGTGTCGGAATGACTCCAGTTGAATAAAAACAAACATTTTGATGTGATCTCGAGAATCTTACGCGGTGTTTAACGATCCGGTGTTTACAGGTGGATGAATGACATCAGCAC